GTGAACCAGACTCAACTCGATGGCAGGGAGTTTGAGTACGACAACTCCTGGGTTGCTTCTGTGATCGCCACTGGGGTCAGTGGTCATCCTGGACAGGCAGCCGTGCGATCTCCTTGTCCCTGGTCCAAGCACAAGCCATTGCTTGCTTTCTCACCTCCTCGGGCTCTTGGGTGGGGTGGAGGTGACACACTGCTGTATGCAGTCACTGGGGCTCATGGGGAATGGGGGCTTTCTGGTAACCTACGAGGAGCTGGTACACGTGGGTGTGGGGCCCAGGGATGGGGGCGGGGGGTGGGGAGAGATGGCAGGAGTTCTGTCCTTGAAGCCCTCCAACCCCGCCCACAGAGAAACAAACCCAAGCCAGGTGTTGTTGAGTACCGGTGTTGGTTCCTGGTGACTCCGGTGTTACAGCATTTCCTTCTTCGAATCTGTTTGCCAGCCCTTTCTTCCCCAGTACTGCTGGGGGGGTTGGAGCCATCAACCTTTAGGCCCCCGGTCTAGTGTAAGCTGTTTGTGCCACCCAGGGACCTGCCCAGCAGCCTCCAAGGAGGCTGGGCTTAAGGGCAGGTGGGCGGCTTGTAGCAACCTTACTCTGCCTGCTGAGTTCAGACATGCTTGTGGGCAGGTCTTGGGCATCCAAGGTCCTGCCCCGACTGGGCAGAGGGGCTGGGTTTGCGGCCCTCCGGCCCCACCCTCTGTCAGACACTATCATCTGTATGATAATGATGGCTTAGCCAAATAGCAGGCTAGTTCAGAGTCAAGAGGAGTTTCGTGTGGCTATATTCTACCTACGCGTCTGGTGGCCCAAGCACACGCAGGTCGGTCCCTCCAGGTTTCGGCAGATGTCCGGTCCCCTTCCCCAATCTCCACCCAGTCTGGCTTTCCAGTCTACTCGCTGGCTGGCAGCTGCAAGCATCTTAGCAAGAGCCCCTGGGTTCTCTGTGTGCAGGGGCCAGGCCTGGCGCTCACATCTGGGTCCCTGAGGGCACCCCTTCTGCCCATAGGTATACCATTCAGCCACATGAAAGTAATCAGCTAACTTAAGGGGGGTGGGTGGGGAAGAAGGAGGAATTGCCAGCATGGAACATCCCCGCCCCGTAAGTCAATGCACAGTATGCTGGTGTGCTGGCTCTCCAGCACCTGCTTTGGAGGCAGACGCCCAGAGCAGAGAACGTGGGTACACTGCCTCCCAGGCCTCTGTGGGCCCCACAGCTTCTGACTCCCAATGCCCTCTCAGCCCCTCCCCTGTTCTGAATGTGTCCCCATAACCAGGCTCTTCTCTCCTTGTGCCAAAGGAGCCCTGGTGGCACCATGGTTAAAGCGCTTGGCTGCAGACCAAAAGGTCAGTGGTTCGAACCTACCAGCTGCTCAATGGGAGAAAGATGTGACTGGTAAGGATATACGTTGAGAGGCCTTGGAGACCCTATGGGGCAGTTCTGCTCTGTCCTGTGGGGTGGCCTGAGCCAGAATCCACCTGCCAACCACGGGGGTATGGCCCAGGCATGGGCAGGCTGTGGACAAGTCACCACAGCTCCCCCTGGGACTTGGCATCACCCGTCACTGGGGCGTAAAAACTGATGCCACCTCACACGGTGATTCTGGGCTTTAAATGAGAAAAAGAAAACAAACCAAACAGGGGCTGTGTGGCACGCAGGTGGTGCACAAATGAGCACATCCTCCTGCTGCCCCTCTTGGTCTCTGCCAGGAACCAGCTCCCACTGGGCCCGCCCAGCCTCCCAGCCACCCAGCCCAGGCAGGCTGGGGCAGAAAACAAAGGAAACTCTCTCCCTCAGGGTGGAAAGGAAGAAGGAAGGATTTCTCTTATTGCCATGCAAGGGTGGCTTGCCAGCTGGATGGACAAGCAGGTTTGAGCGGAGGGGCAGGTAGTGGAGGTGGGAGGGCCGAGCCGGTGAAAACCAACTCTAGGGACCTGGGTCTTCCTTTAAACAACCACATGGCCTCTGGGAAAACTCGGTCCCCAGTGTCCTTGCCAGGGATGCAACTGGTCAAGCTCACCGAGAAAAAGGTTCCGATGTGAGGGGCAGGGAGGATGGGGGCCCCAGGGGATGCCCACACCAGCATCAGAAGTGGCTTCTTCTGTGGGCTGGTCATTGCCCTGACCTCGGCTTTAGTGCTCTTGGCTCAGGCCTCACACAGGCCGTAGGTCCACTCTCCTGCCCGTCTCATTGGCTTGCTTTTCTAGAACCAAAGTCCCACCTCTCACATCTAGCTTCTTCCCTCCCGGCAGTCCGCCCCAGCATGTGAGTTCTACCTCTGTGAGATAAAAAACAAACATAAACGAACAAATCTCACAGCGATTGCATCAATTCTGACCGATGGAGACCCCATAGGGCAGAGGAGCATGGCCCCTGTGGGTTTCTGAGATGGTAACTCTTTACAGGAGCAGAAAGCCTCTTCTTTCTCCCTCAGAGAAGCTGGTAGTTTCGAACTTCTATTTTGTGGTTAGCAACTCAACCTGTTACTATGCCGCCAGGGAAGATTACAGCCCACAAAACCCAATGGAACAGCTCTACTCTATGAGCACGTGGAATAGACATGAGTCAGCATCAACTCATGAGGGCTTGTTTACTTTAGTTTGTTTTGAATACGTATAGATTACTGGTCCACCGTTGTTAATGTTTCTACAGTTAGCTATGGAAAGAGACGACAACATTCCATGACTCAAGAGTCTTATCCATCAATCCCACAGGGTCCTAGAAGCCTCCATTGGCAGGTTCCTCTAATAGTTGGTTCCTCCACTGGCCCCTTCCTCTAATAACAGGACGGCCAAGCGGTCTCACTCAAATGCCATGCCTAAATCCTGCTGCACCAGCACTTCAGACCAGAGCAGGGTGCCCCAGTGGTTACGAGCAAGGGCTTTGCTCTCTGAATCCAAGCTCAGCCAGCTACTTATTAGTTATGTAGCTTTAGGCAAGTCACTTAACATCCGAGACTCCTGATTTTTGTCTTCTCCAAACCTAAGGAAATCCTGGCTAGTGCAAGCGGTTCACGTGCTTGGATGCAAAGGATAAGGGAGCCTGCCCAGAAGTGCCGGGGAAGAAAGGTCTACTTCCTGAAAAACAACAGCCATTGCACACGCTATGGAGCACACAGCCAACCTGATGCTTGAGTCTCAATCAACTCGACAACTCGTGAGCCTGAGGACAGGACCACTTCTCTCTGAGTGCTTGCAATAGGGGAGTGAGAAAAGGTAGATACACCATTAGCCCAGACCCTGGCACACATAAAATGCTAAATAAATGCAGGTTTCCTTAGGCTTGCCGGCAGAAAGACGAGGCTTTCTGCTCCTGTAAAGAGTTACAGTCTTGGAAACCCACAGGGGCAGTTCTACCCTGCCCTATTGGGCCACTGTGAGTCGGCATCAATGCAATGGCAGTGAGGTTGGTTTGGTTACCTTCTTGCAGCATAAGGCCTGACCCCAGGCGCAGCCCAAAGCCCATGATTGCCACCCATCTCCCTTCCCCCTCCTCTGTGTTCAAACTTGCCCATCTCTTCTGCAGAACGCAGTAGGCCAAGCAAGTTCAGCCAGCCAAGGAGAGCTGCTTAGAGACACGGGGTGGAAAGAAGGACTGTGAAACTTCTTGCTGGCCGCCATGCTCATCAACAGCCTAGGTTGCCCCCTCCCAGACAGGAGTCCCACCCCGGGCCTCCGAAGGTTAATCTGCCCTTAGCCCCAGGGCTCGGCTACACGCACTGTGTTGACTTAGTGTGGTGAACCTGAGCCACTCGTGTGGTATATTCTGAATTGGGCACCAAAGGTTGCTGGTCTTTCTTCACAAACCTCAGGGTAGGGAACTTGATTTAGCAAGTGAAAATAAAGGATGTCCGATGAGAACATGAGTTTCTGATAATCAGCATACTGTATACTCTTCTAGTACTGTCTCCCAGTTGAGAGATTACTCTAAAGGCATGTGTTTCTCTGTAATTCACACGCAACTGGGCATCTTGAATAATCTGGAATCCCCACCCCAGGGCATAGACTAAAGGTTGAAAACTTTTCCCTGCTCCACAGTCTTCCGGTCCGGCAGGACTCTAACTGGTTACTGTGGAGCTGTTGTTTCCTTTTAACTGGAGTGATTGGGAGAAGCCAAGTGGAGCTGATGTGACAAAGAGTTTTTCTTCCCTCTGAGCTGCCTGTCCAGGCACCAGTTTTGTCAAAGAGCCTAGCACAGTGCCACGCACACAGCCTACTGCCAGTCAGCCTGCTCCAATGATCAACCCTCTCTGAGATTTCTGAGACTGTGAGTCTTCACAGGAACAGACAGCCTCATCTTTTCCTCCAGGGTCGGCTGGTGGATTTGAACTGACAGCCTCGAGATTAGCAGCTCAACACCTACACCATAGCGCTGCCACCAAGGCTTCTTTCCAGGCACACAGTAGGTGCTCCAAATAAATACATTCATTCATTCTGGCACAGTGGGTTGGGCTGCTAGCCATAAGGTGAACAGTTTGAACCTACCAGCTGTTTTTCAGGTCAAAGCCGAGGCTGTCTGCTTCCCCAAAGATCTATCGTCTCAAACCCTAGGGACAGCTGTCTTCCGTCTAGAGTAGACCTGGTCACTCGGAATGGGACTAGAGCAGGGAACAGTGGACAGCAGCGGATATTCTTCCTAGTGACACTGAGCTCTAGAAAAGAGGGTGTTGTCCCCATCCCACCAGCTGGAGTTGTTTTGTAGATTAAATGAGAAAAAGGCTGCGAATTGTTTTGTAAAGGACAGAGCTGCACACAGGTCAACTATCAAGGCCTTGGGGTGGCCCCATTCCCACAGGGCCCAGGGCCCCCACCGTTCCTCAGGGACAGTTAGAGGCAGCACCTGTGGCTTACTGTCAGCACCTGGTCATCTATCTGCCCACCTCAATCACGTCCATCCTCTCAGCAGGCCGCAGCACAGGCCCACCACTGGCGGATGGCAGGACCCATGTGCCTGCCAGAGGTTGTTAGCCTGGGCTTTGCACGGAGGGAGTGGGGCAGGGCCTACCTTCTGCGCCTGCTGGACCATCTGCCTGACCACCTGCTTGAGGTGGGGGGCCTTCTCCTCCTTGGGGGGGTGGGTGAAGAGGGTGACTCGGCTGACGCCCCTGTAGGCGATGTTGTCTGTCCAGCCCAGGTCCAGCGGGGGCACCTCGGTGTCGGAGCGGTCGGGCCAGTAAGCCAGGGACTCGGTGGGCTCGGCCGCGGCCTTCCCAGCGGCCTGGGCCTTGCCCTTGCCCTTGCCCTTGCCACGGGCGGTCGCGGCGGCGGTGTCCTCATAGGGGCGCCAGGTGGCACGGAGGGCCTGACGCTCCTGGCCCGACAGGAAGTTCTTCAGCCGCTCCTGCTGCACCCGCTCGAAGTAGGCCTGGTCGCCGCCGCCCAGCAGCGCCTCCAGCGCGGCCCGCCGCCGCTCGCAGTAGTAGAAGGAGGCCTGCGCCTCGGTCACCTTCTCGTTCACGTGCGCCTCGTCCAGGCAGCTCAGCTGCGACTATGCTCGGATGCAAAGGATAAGGGAGCCTGCCCAGAAGTGCCGGGGAAGAAAGGTCTACTTCCTGAAAAACAACAGCCATTGCACACGCTATG